TTAATGTTTCACATTGCTTGTGAAAAATATACTACCACTATACGATCACTGATGTTTTGTTGTTGACTGGACACTTATTTTGTAAAAGAGATAGCATGAGAGGATCTCTTAAGCAATGCAGCTCACGTGTCCTTTTTATATGCTGTCCATTGAAATGCAGGAAAGTAATCAGCTCTGAGTGATCTGTTGACGAGGGGACACTACACCGGAGTTACATAAGCAGAGATAAAGTGCTATTTTGGGGGGAACTCACCTCCTCTGGGGTCCCCCAGGAAGATTTTTTTTAAATATTGAAGTTAAAAGCATCAATCTTGTGCACTTTGAGAGCAACATTAAGAGATATGGATACATCTCTCAACACCCATATGTCAAAAAAGAAATCAAAGAATCAGAAACGGGTTTATTATTTAAAAACACTTCATTTTCCAATTAAATCATAAACTATGTCAAATGATTAGAAGTTGTTAGTAATCAGATTAAACAGAACAAAGGGATGGAAGGAGGAAATAATAATCCCTCATCTCTTGCTGTTTGCGGTTGAAATGATCTCTTTTGCTGGCCAAATGGAAAGCAGTGATGTCTCACTTGCCTTGACTTGTATCTGCAGTCCCTAAATCAGTCATGTTACCCATTGACTCTTGTCTGTTCTGGTGTTCCTGTTCATTGTTGTCTCCATTGTTGTTCTTGTCTGTTGTATCTCCTTCTTGTGTGTCCCTTTCTCCTGTTCTCCTTTCTTCATCATCTACTCTGTTTGGCTCATCTGTGATGACTGTGGGTAAACACAAACAAGTATGTAAGTCAATCAGTTTCCAGCTCTGTCAAATAAACGAATTTCAAGATACACAAATTTGTCTTCATTAAAATGAGTGTCACCACACTGTCACAAAATGTAATACTAACCAATTGAAAATAGTTACATTTACATCTCTTGTAGATATCACTGTTAGAGTAGTTATCTGCCAATAGGACAGAATCATTCCTATACAAATGCAGTTTGAGTAATTCACTTAATATATTTACTTAAAACTTTAATATAGTCATTTTCACTTAATACTCTAATATAGTCATCTTTCTGCATTCAACACTAAGGAAAGCTGTACAATTTGACATGATAATGAGGAAAAAAGGCCTCCGACAATGCAGATATTTTTGGATCATATCAATTTTAAGATGGGGGTCAAGGCTTAATATTTGGGAGCATAGTGTCCCTTGCTCCCTTTCAGGAGCCCCACTGGATTAGCTTTGATCTGAAATATTTGTATAAAAAGCTTGTTAGCTGGCTGTCCATCTCATAATGTTCACATAGAAACTAGCTGTCAATAGGAAATATCAATCAGAAGAATTATAATTTCTTGCAAAAATCTGTCACAAAAGAGGTTGCACATTTAAATGCAGGTGTTGTTATGGCAACGTCAGTGGCCAGACAGCCACATTTACTGCTGCAAATACGTTCAAACATGCTGTCGACGTAAAGCAGTGGCATGCCACCATTTCAGCTGACTTTTTCTCAGAAATACTGTCACATAATATCCATATATTTCAGTGCTAGGTTGATGCTTAGCTAAGCTAACTATGAAACACTTTAACTGACAGGACTCAGGATCAACTGTCTTCAAGCTTCTAGCTTCATGTCGAACACAGACAGTAAGTCAACATTTCCCAGAGAGCTTTCTTTGAACTCACCAGGTAACGCTAAAAAACACAACATTTAGATTGTATGACAAAGTGTTTATTTAATATATCTGGCTAGCTATAGCTACTTGCTAACGGTTTAGCTTACCCGCGCGATTCAAAGTAACGTCAACGTGGCTATAATTTATGCTTTGCTTACATGTTGACATAACTTGTAAGTTTACTGACATGTACATACCTTGTTCACCTGGCTCAGGTGGTGGCTCTGGGGTTGTTGTGTGAGCCACCATTTGAGAATTGCCGTCTTTTTTATTAAAAAAATGTCTAATGTCCATCTTCAGAAACTCCGCGTCCGCGGCTGAAAGTTTAAACACTGTCACAGAGGAGAGGTACGTACCTGTCACTGTCAGCCAATAAAACAAGTTTATTTCCATGCAACTCTCTGATTGGTCTGGTGGTGTCTTGCCTCTGTTGCATTCACTGAACACGGGAAATTACATTCCTGCCGTCCTCTAGGTAAAGTACGGTTAATGTATTATATTATTGAGGGAGAATTTGTCCGGGGCTAAAGAAAAAACATCCGGGGCTTTAGCCCCGGATGTTTTGCCTGTTTGATGTTGCCTACCCCAGGCGACGCCCATGGTTGTTCTGATGGAGATAACAGGAGAGTTGTTTAAAGACAGCGCGTTCAAGTGATTTAGACAGGAACGGGAGGAGAGAGACAGGCCTGTAGTTTATAACATCAGACGGGTTGAGAGTGGGTTTCTTTAGGAGAGGGTTTACTCTTGCCTCCTTGAGACTGTTTGGAAAGTGACCAGAAGTTAGAGAAGTGTTGATGAAATGGGAGAGAAACGGTAGAATATCAGGAGCGATAGTCTGAAGGAGGTTTGAAGGGATAGGGTCCAGAGGACAGGTGGTAGGACGGGCAGAGGTAATGAGGGTAAGAACCTCACTTGGAGAGAGAGGGGAAAAGGAGGTAAGTGTGTTGGTGGAAGGAGGGTCTGGTGACCCAGCGGTGAGTAAAGGTGAGTCAGAAAAAGAAGCGCGAATATCATCAACCTTTTTTTCAAAGTGGTTAACAAAGTCGCTTGACAGAAGTGAGGAGGGGGAAGGGTCTTTGGGAGGGTCCAAGAGGATGGAGAAGATGGAAAATAGTTTTTTGGGATTGGAATAGGAAGATTGGATCTTATCTTGAAAGAAAGTGCTTTTTGCCTGAGAGATCGAAGCAGAGAAAGAGGAGAGGAGAGCCTGATAGGTTAGGAGGTCGTCACGGTGTTTGGATTTCCACCGTTTCCGCTCTGCTGCCCTAAGGACGGTTCTATTAGCACGCAGTGCATCATTTAGCCAGGGAGCAGGAGGGGACTGACGAGCCTGCCGAGATGTGAGAGGACAGAGAGAGTCCAGAGTGGATGAGAGAGTAGAGAGGAGAGTTTCTGCAGCAGAGTTTGGAGGCAGGAGATGGAACGAATCAGAGGAAGGGAGGGCTGAGAGCACCGACGAGGCAAAGGTAGAGGGGGCGAGGGAGCGAAGGTTACGGCGGACAGGTGCAGGATGAGAAGAGATTAGTTTGTGATGTTTGGAAAGGGGTAGAGAGAATGAAATTAAGAAGTGATCGGATGTGTGGAGCGGGTTTACAGAGAGGTTAGAAGTAGAGCAGTTCCTTGAGAATATGAGATCAAGGACATTGCCAGCTTTATAAGTTGGTGGGGAAGGAGACAGTGAGAAAGCAAAGGCGGTTAACAGAGATGTTAGTTCGTCTATCTTCCCTGTCTGGAGGTTGAAGTCTCCGAGAAGTACAGCGGGAGGGCCAGTTTCAGGGATGTGTGAGAGGAGATTATCTAATTCCTCCAAGAAGTCCCCCAAGGCGCCTGGTGGACGGTAGAGAACAACAATGGTTAACTGTATAGGATGGGTTACTGTGACGGCATGGAATTCAAAGGTGGAAGGAGTGAAGTTAGGTAGCTTGAAGAGGGAAAAGCTCCATTTTGGAGAGAGCAGGAGACCAGTGCCACCTCCTCTGCCAGTGGGTCTGGGTGTATGGGAGGAGGAATATGCTGTGGAGAGAGCTGCTGGGGTGAATGTGTTGGATGGAGTAATCCAGGTCTCAGTGATAGCAAGGAAATCCAGAGACTGCAGGGAGGCGTAGCCAGAGATGAAGTCAGCCTTAGGAACAGCTGACTGGCAGTTCCACAGGCCGCCTGTAACTAGATGTTGGATCTCAGTAGAGCATGTGGGATAGACAAGAGTAGGCCGGTTATATCGATTAGGAGATACACGGGGCCAGTGATAATTGCGAGAAGACACATAAACAGGAATGGAGAAAATACACATGATTATAGCATGAGGGGCTAAACAACTAAATAAAATAAAACACCAGCGATACTTGGCTCAATCATTACATTTACATTACATTGCATTTAGCTGACGCTTTTATCCAAAGCGACTTAGAGTAGGATTTGCCTCCTCTTTGCCTCCCTCGTGACTCCCGCAGGACTCCCGCAGGACTCTAATTTCTTTGTCAGTCTTACTCCAGCAAGACTCCTTTCTCTTTGTCAGTCTTCGTCTTCGTTTGAAGCTGACGCTCCAGGAAAGTGCTACCTAAAATGGACACCTGATTGCTGAGTTCTTACAGCTGTGGGGCCACGCCCCTTTAATTAGTTAACTCTCTGCAGCTGGTGGCCCTCAAAAGGAAATCGAGAATGGCTCCCTCCTGAGTTGTTATTGTATTTTCAGTGACACAATTGTTTTACAATTACATTAAACCCTAAGTTATAAAGTTATGAGTTTAACCCTTAATACAGTTACACCTACTCAATAAAGCTCTTAGTATTCTACAAATGTTTAAATCAAAGTTAACCCTAGCAGTCAGTTAGTTCAGTTTGAAGGTTTCAGTCAAATTACTTGTTCCCAAGTTTCTGCCTGACAGATACTGTAGCGGTTTTGAGATTTAAAATCACAATTTCAATCAGATCAACTACAGAGCATTGATACAGAGTACACACACTGAAACAGAGAAGTCTAAAAACAGAATGTTACTCACACAATTCTAGAAGTCACCAGTTGTTATCCTGTCAAAATCGAGTTGCACACTGTGTTACAACTTCGAGTTGCACACAGTGTTACAACTGTCCCTGGTCTCCCTACTCCACAAAAAAATAAATATTGTAAGCTTGTAAAACTTCACACCTTATTCAGGGTATCTAACCAAAGATTAATCATTGACACGAGCTAAGAGAGCCCAAAAGTGCTACAATGCTAACTAATTTCCGCGTTTTGGGACTCATTCCTGCATCTCTATATTTTTCGCTCCAATATTTAGTAACATGTTAGCATCAGCCTCATAGTCTGACTTCCTCACCTCTCCTCAGGTGTTGCAGGATATCACCAATCTTCAGCCGGACCTGTTCTCCACCCTGCCCTTGTAGTCCAGGCGGGACAGAACGTCTCGCTGACCTGTAACATGACGTCGTGCGCGGAGTTCACCTGGTACGTTGTGCGCTCCAATCAGCTGCTGCCTCTGCTGACGGTCACAGAATCGAAACTGAAAGAAATTACTGTGTACTTCAATGTGGCAGTAAGTCGCTTCGGCACAAGTGGGGAAATGGAGAGCGGCACGCTGACTCTGCACATCCTCCAGGCAGAGGAGCAGGACGCCGGGCTTTATTTCTTCTCTGGACGCTGCTTCGGAGCTACTCATGTTAACAGAGGGATGCATCTCGTTGTTGATGGTAAGAATGTTATTTTTTCAACCTGAATATTCCCATCGAGATTTTTAAATATTGTTTTACAAGGGAGGTCACAACAGCAGCAGCACAGAACATTTCACATATAGCCTACAAATATATAAAAAACATGTCTATGAAGTGTTTTGCTCAAAATACCAAACAGATCACCCATTCTAGCCATGCCTCATAGCCCTCTATTTCACTTCCTGTTTCAAAAGTGCTGATTTGGGGTATAAAGCTTTAAAAAAATTAAATAAAAACAAATAAAAAAGGAGGGGGCTGAGCTCATGCGCGACCCGGCAGCTACTGTCTAAACTAAATGCTGCCGTGATGAAACGCCATATCATGGATTATCAAGGATTCTCTCTGAAACAGTCTGGAGCTCAAAGGCTTTCTCTCTTGCCGGTTATACCACAAGGTGAGTTCCTTTTTACTTCCTGCTTCTTCACACACATGCTCTCCAGTACAGGTTAGCTCTGAGTGTTAGCGATGCTAATGTAAACACCGACCATATTATGTCCAAAACAGTCGGGCATTGTTTCTGATAGAAACTTTCTGATAGGGCCGTGGGTGTAAAGTCAGCCTACATTTCCGATATTACGTTATATCGGACGCAGATCAGCTCCGTTGTTCCCCTGTTTTTAGAGATTTGGGTACGGAGGAAAAGAGAGAGGGTTTTATTTACTGACGCTGCGTGAGTTCCCGGACACACCGGGGATACATGTTTATGTATAAAAGACATCAAAAAGTGCATTTTGCAAGATAGTTCCCCTTTAATAATGTGGATTTCAGATGTAGCATAGTTTTATGTCTGAAGTCAAAGGTTAAAAAAGAAGCATAGTTATATATAGTTGTTTTTGCGAACAACATTTTTTTTTAAGACAATAACGGAATAAAGTGACAAATCAGGGATATTGCTTCAACAAGACAAAATGTTCGGAGGCCGAGGTGCAAATGGACTACAGCGGACTCAAACACTTCCTAAAACACGCTGCAGCTTCAGAAACGGTGCAAATAAAAAGGTAAATGTGCCAAAACACATGCAAATGAACAAACATTCACCAACTTGACAACACATGAGGGGCGTATAATATAAGGGTAAGGGTAAAAAAAAATGGTAAGACGCTCAAAACACAAAGCAAACCAGGGGACTAAAAGCGCTGCACACAGCTGGGACCAGTATGCTTGGTGACATTCGGGGTTTATAGAGTTGGCCAACTGTCACTGGAGACTTACCAAAATGTACGTATTTGTCTGCTTATTTTAACAATGTGATCGTGTAATTGCAGATCTGCTGTAAGATAGCTATCTAAAGTAGCTAACCTAGTCATTCAATATACTGACAAACACTTAAAGTTATTAAACAGACTCACTCTGGCAACAGAGACAGTTGTCCAGCTTTATAATCCTGAACATCAAAAAGCGCTTCGGTCCAATCTGTGTGCGTCACTTCTTAGTCTCCCCTGGTTTCTGTCATGCTTTGACTTTCTTGCAGTTTTTTTTATTTGCAGCGTTTTGTTTATGCAGCCCTTTCAGTAAATGCTGCATGTGTTGGTGAAGATTGTGTTTTGGCACATTTTTTGTTTTGTTTGTTGGCCTGTTGAAACGTTGTTGCCCCTGTCGGCCAACGTAACCAAATCATAAAGAACTGAAAAAGAATTTGAATGAAAGTTCTGAAGGTTTGAACAAAGCAACAATTCGTAAAAATGATCAGGTTAGGGTGTAAAGTTAACCATAATGACAAAATCATAGTGTTTGGTTCACAAGCGCTAATGATGGATAAATAGACCCTGACATACATGTGATTATTACATTTCTGTAGAAAGCAGAAGTTTCAGTGGTGATGTTTCTTCTAATCTGGTGGCATTGGCAAGCATCATCAGTGGTGTGTTTGCAGGAAATGTTTATTTAATTTCTGCTTGGTTAGTGGTTGGCTTGAAGTTAATGTTGGCTCTATAAAGTGAGCAAGACTTCATCTCTTTACTAGCCTCTATCCTTTCTTCACAGGTTGATCATTCGATTTGTTTCTATTGGTACATTTGATCTGGGATTAATCTCTGTATTTAATTTGAGGATCTGCTGCACGAAAGAGTGCACCAATCTGTATGAAATCGTGGGGGTGTATCTCCGATTTGATCTTATTAATAACCTGTTAGCTGTTCAGGACATGGCTGACGGTTGATTCATAGAGTTTCTCAAAGGATAGACCTACAGTCTTTGAGCAGATTTTCCTTTGGTGGAGAAGTTTTCACTTTAAAGCGGTGGACTTGTACCATGTAGAATTGCAACACTGTAGAAAACTCAAAATCACAGGTATTAGAAACAAAATAAATATTTGACTACTCTTTAGACCCAAGCAGCCGGAGAAAATGAATTATTTCTCTTGTCCTTCTGCAGGTATATTTAATGTCATCTAATCTATCATTACACCAAATTATTTATGAAGGTGATTGATAATTGTCTTTAAATAACTACAAAGGGTCATGTTCCCCTTTACATTTTCAAAAAATATATCGTTATAGTTTTCATTCATCAGTCATAACTTCCAATCATCAGAATGCATTTTCTAATTGTTTAATGTAGGGTGCATTAAAAAAGCAGTTTGCCAAATGTGCATTTAGTTTTAAAACTGTCAAGTGTCCCTCAAAAAGAGATTCAGCTTTTAAACATCCCTGTTTCGCACATGGAAATAACCACCAGTACCACAACAATGCAAGAAGCAATCCTTTGTTGATTGCTCCATAGTTACCTTGGAGTCTTTTCACACTTATCCGATCAATAATATTTCAGAAACATTGAATAATGGGAGTTATTCCAATAAAAGCCATGAACCTTGAACCTTGTTCTAAAGGATAATCCAGCAGTCAGTGAACTCGTCCTGTACTTTGTGTTTCCAGGAGTGGACGGGCTGTCAGCAGGGCAGCCATGTTGGAGTGTGTGGATGTGGGTTCTTCCTGCTGGACTAATCCTCGGCTGCATCCTCATCGCTGGACTTTGCTGGTGCACAGGTGTGTGTGTGTGTGTGTGTGTGTGGTGTGTGTGTGTGTGTGTGTGTGTGTGTGTGTGTGTGTGTGTGTGTGTGTGTGTGTGTGTGTGTGTGTGTGTGTGTGTGTGTGTGTGTGTGTGTGTGTGTGTGTGTGTGTGTGTGTGTGTGTGTGTGTGTGTGTGTGTGTGTGTGTGTGTGTGTGTGTGTGTGTGTGGTGTGTGTGTGTGTGTGTGTGTGTGGTGTGTGTGTGTGTGTGTGTGTGTGTGTGTGTGTGTGTGTGTGTTGTGTGTGTGTGTGTGTGTGTGTGTGTGTGTGTGTGTGTGTGTGTGTGTGTGTGTGTGTGTGTGTGTGTGTGTGTGTGTGTGTGTGTGTGTGTGTGTGTGTGTGTGTGTGTGTGTGTGTGTGTGTGTGTGTGTGTGTGTGTGTGTGTGTGTGTGTGTGTGTGTGTGTGTGTGTGTGTGTGTGTGTGTGTGTGTGTGTGTGTGTGTGTGTGTGTGTGTGTGTGTGTGTGTGTGTGTGTGTGTGTGTGTGTGTGTGTGTGTGTGTGTGTGTGTGTGTGTGTGTGTGTGTGTGTGTCCTCCATCTTTGTGATTGACGGAAGGGCAATGTGTGGAAAGTGTCTCCCCTAGTGGTGGAAAGTACTCAAAACAACTGTTTGAGCACGAGATTTAGGTACTTGTACTTTAAGGTTTTGTTGAGAACTTCATTCTGATCGGTCCATTAAGACACTCTACGGTCTGTTATTTATTTTTAGCAGACGCTGGTAAGGATAACAGACTGTTGCTATGGATGCAGTTTGGACTCGAGAACACAGAGACCAGACTATTTCTTAAAGCTAAAATGATAAAATACATTTTAAATCAATATTTCACGTCAAATTATGGATTGTTTCAGTAAGTAGCTCTGTAATAAGTGAGAAAGTTGGCCATTATTGTAATTTAAGAGCGCTGTGCGAACATTATCCTTTCTTTATCATGTAGTTTTTACTAAACAAAATGTATAAGAACAGCGCTTTTTTACTAGTTACTTTACAGAATCTAACTATTTATACGACATAATTAATTATAATAAATAAAGTGATGCTTACACATCCCTCCAAAGTTATAATCCTATAATGTAATACATGTGGTTCTGAAATTGGCAATGTATTATCATCCCTGAAGAGAACACATATCACCTTGTTAAATACTACGATATAAAATATGTAAGCACCTCCTACACACGTATCTGCACATAATATATTTACACAGAACTATTCAGACATACAAGAACTGGGAAAACTGATTCAAGCGCAAAACATCTGAGTGTGCCCCCCATTAATGGATTTGTAGTCTTATCGGATATATGGACAACAAAACTGGAAAATGAAGGCTACACTAATGAGACAATAACTGAAATAAAAGTAACGATGCTATAAAAAAACCTCATAAATTGACCAGGCATAGATAATGAATTCAGTTAAATGGTCAAATCATTTTGTGCAAAGAAGAAGAAAACAATCTATTAAAATGTTCTTCTTTAAATTAATTACATTAATTGAATTTCACTACTTTGTCAAAAGTGTTCTCATTAGGCAGAACTAATGTCCCCTACAGTAAAGAAAAACATATAGTTCACCACTAGATGACACCATGAATAAAACTACTTCTTTATATTTACTGTATGCTAAATGTTTACAAAGTAAACCACCGCCAGATGTTCATTAACATTTTATTTTCTTGTAATTACACAGATCAATTGCAACACTGTTGTGTTACATAAGGTTCAAATTATAAGGCTACCAAATAAGGCAGTTTAATGTAGCATAGGTCCACAGGAAGTCCCTGAGTGAAGTAAGGTTGCCATTTGAGAAAAGAAAAAAAGAAAACCTAAGAATAAAGGCTGTACTGGTTTGTTGGCTCTTCCTACAGACAACAAACACACAGGAACATTAACCTGATTTCAGAGGGTGAGAGAATCATCTTTGTGAGGTTGTCAGTTTGTATTTAAGAACACTCGAGGTTAAATGAATTCCCTGGGTAACTATAAAGAAGTGCGTTTAAGCTGGGTCAGGCCTGCCTCAGCAGCAGCCCGTACGGGCGGATGGACTCCTGCACCATGGCCCTCTTCTCCACATCGCTGCAGTCTTTGGGGACGTAGACCAGCCAGGTGTTCTCCCTCTGGCACTCCTTTCTCTTCTCCGGGTTGATGCGGTTCTGAAGAACCACTTTGTACGTCTTCCCGTCCACTTTGGACTTGAACCTCCGGCAGTACTTCTCTGCCATCTTGATATCTGGGGTGGAGTACACCCCTTGACCCCTTGTCTCCCCGGTGACCAGACTGGCTGCGGCGGCATCTAGAAACTGTGGCGTGTCCTCGGGGTTTCCGCCGTGGGACAGGATGACGCCGAGGGACCCGTCCATGTTCTTTGCGTGGTAGGAGACGGGCCAGGAGTCTGTCCCCACCCCCAGCCAGACATCGTCATCGTACTTCTTGGTGACCCGCAGGGCGAAGCGCTTCCACCCGCAGGGCCGGATGTACGGCTCCCCGCCACGCAGGAACGCCTTGTTACCGTCCTGTAGGGGGGCAGAGGAACATGCTATTATGCTACATGCTAATCGCAACATTTCCTGCATCACTTCCTCTCTCTCTCTGTCTTTCCTTCCCTCCCTTGCTAACTTCCTCCCTCACTATCTCACCTATACTCACTCCCCCCCCCTTACTGACTCACCTTCTCCCTCCCTTGCTTATTACCTCACTTTCCTCCCTTACTTACTTACTCGAACCCTGGTCCCTCACCCTTTACTTTCATTCGCTCCCTGGCCCCTGCAGAGTACATGTGAAAGTGTCTTACTCCTGGAGCGTGATAATTAACCATAAATTCTCCTGTGGGTGTGTGTGTGTGTGTTCCCTTCCTCCCTTCCTCACTACAGTAAAGCTATATTGCGCAAGCAAAAGACAAACACATTCAGTCATGACTTTATTGAGTGGTGAAGTCCCTCCCCTTCCGGTGGACCTCCATGGGACCTTATTTCGGAAAAATCATGTATTGAAGTCAATGAAGAGAGAAAGATTATCTTTCGATCCCGTTTGAATTGTGCCACGAATTACACACATGATGTTTGTCAATTTAAAAGATAATTTTGCAAGTCAACAAAAATAATAATGTGTCGTAAAACTGTGAAGTAACACTTTTTGTTGTGTGAAACGCTGAATGAACAACAACTCTGGTCTCGCAGAACAACACACGTCACCAACACCAAGACGGCCGTCACGTTAGCACATTTCACTTCTTTCTTTCAGAATGAGGTGAAAAGTATTATAAGAGGTGAAAATCACTACAAGTCTGGGCATGTTGAGAGCTGTGCATACACAAGGGGAGTTAGTCGATTCCGTAAGAGCCAGCATGCAGGACCGGCTTTAGAAGTTTTCGGTGAGTAACACGAGTGTAACGTGTAATTTACTTACTTACTTACTTACTCTGGGATTTGTAGTCTTTCTAGTTGCGTATTTTTCATAGTTTTATATTTCAACAGTTTTACGACAAACTGTGACTTTTTTTACATGGAAATTATTTTTTAAGATTGACAAACATCATATGTTTAATTCATGGCACAATTCAAACGGGATCGAAAGATAATCTTTCTCTCTCCATTGACTAAATACATAATTTTTCCGAAATAAGGTCCCATGGGTCGGAAGTAGAAGGGCGGGACTTCGCCTCTCTATAAATACTATATCAGGTCAGTCAATAAATAAATCAATCAAAGTTTATTTATAGCCTAATATCATACATTTTATATTTTTCTCAGGGGGCTTTTCAGTTTATATAGTATATGGATACTTAATCCGTCATTTAATAATATCACCGGTATTCTACATATTAGTTTAAAATGAAGGAAGAGATTAATTAAAGGAGAGTTTCACCTTGATGTTGGAGAAGTCGTAGTCGTACTGCGGGTGGAAGAAGTCCTCGGGGTTGATCTTCAGCTTGGTCCTGTGGCTCTCCTGGGGCCCTTCCGTCAGCGCAGGGGGGGAGCTGTACAGGTCCTCCCCGTCCAGGTCCTGCAGGGATAGAGACCCCAAACTGGGGTACTCCAGGGTTTTAAAGCCTTCCTGCTTGTAATACTCCTTGAGGGCCACGATGTTGACGAAGTCCTGCGGAGTGAGCGTCGAGGCCCCGCGCTCCACGGAGCAGCCGGAGAGAGCCGACAGGGCCTCCAGGACCAGAGAGTCCGCCATGGGGGTGAGGACCGCTGCCCGTGGGAACAGTACCAAATACAGTATTTTTCTCTTCTCTGTTTAGGAGATAATGTAGAAAAGTAAACGGCGGAGCTACCGTCTGCTGCTTTGACAACAACAGCTGGCCCTGCTTTCACTTTCGTTTTCCCTCTCTATGACTCACTGACTGGAAGCTGCTGGGCTCACAGTACACCGGATCATTCACCTCTATTTTATGGTGCGTGTGTGAACGCACCATTAGGACTTCTCAATTATAATCCTGGTTAGAGAAGTTTCCACAAACAAGGAATGGGCTTTATTAGTGCAACAAATTAGTAAGAGAATTAAAACATCTCAAGTATTACAAAGATCAGAGACATAAATATAGAATTTAATAAAATACTATACAAAAAACAAAGATATTGAATAAAAGAAAAACATGTTGAAAAATACAATAAAAATGGTTCAAGAACAATATATAGAATAGGAGATTTAAAACAAAATTATAATCTAAAAAAGATACAAGGAACACTAACATGACGGGAAGAAAAGTACAAAAATATATACAAAAAGCCAAAGGCATAAGACACAGACATATAGAATAGAAAAAAAAAAACTGTAAGAAAAGGTAGAAAAGCATGATTATAGAAAAAAGTATTTCATAGCAGTAAAATATAAAAAGAAAACAAGATAAATAGAGGTAATAGACACATTTAAAAAACCAAAACAACTATAAAAGGTATGAGACAACTAAAATAAAAGGACCAAATGGAAAAATACAATTGACCAAAAGACAACAAAATGGACATGGCAAACCTTTTAAAAAATAGCATTAAAAAGGTACAAGACATACATACATAACAGTACAACAATTTGAAGAAATACTGGAACAATCCACAACATGTTGAAACAAATGTAAAAGCTGTCTTAAAAAAACAAGTTTCAGAGTCATTGAAAATATGTTAAACTCAGTCCTATTTAAACTTGATTAAAACAGAAGATTTGTTTGGCAAATCAGTTTGGTAGGTGTTGTTGAACCCTCCCCCTCTCCTTGTGTTCAGGTAAACCGGCTGTTCGCTGCTGTTGTCCAACGAGTCAAAAGGTCACAGAGGTCAGTATGGTGACACGTCAACAGTCCTCTTCTACCTCTTTTCCCCTTTTATTTGGTAAATATTTCTGCTAAATGATGCTGCATATGGATCCACACAGAGGTTTCAGCTACTGTCTGACTGCTCCCAGTGCTGATATGTTGTCCCTAAAATAAAATACATATACAAATATCTACATTGATAGGCAAAAATAAATACACATTATGTAAATCCAATTCATGCATTTTGCAAAATAAAGTCGATTTTCAAATTGATATAAAAAAAAGAAAAATCTGCATTATATATACATATTAGTGATGTCCCATTCCTGCCAGTCCACCATCATCGCCAGATTCTTCTAACGGTATCTGCTTCAATATTGATTAAAAACAGTATGTATCGGACACCTATTTGCTGTAGCCACTTGATACCAATTCTATGGAAGCCCTGAGAGGCAAGTAGCATAAGATTTAAAAAGGTATTTCCAAGTTACTTTACAAACCAATGTCTTCTGTGAAATAGGCAGGGAAACATTGTCAAAATGATTTTTAAGAGTGTTTGTTGTTGTAATACCCATTTTGGCCGAAAGAGGGTAGAGTACACTGTGTTTTAATTTGTCCATTAAATCTAAACCATAGGCTGTATATATAAATGGACGTAGTGTCCGTGACGTCACCCATAGGATTCTGCAGAGTTGCCGTGAAGCCCTTAGTAGGCGGAGTCGGCCACTAACGGCTCGACTGTGACGTCAGAGTCTAATCCCGCCTGCTCCAAATAAGGGCAAAGAGGCGGGACCTGCTGCCTCTGAACTGGAAGTAAACAGAGCTAGCTCAGGCTAAGAAGCTAAGCTAACATGAAATACATGCATACCAAGTTACTGCTAACAGTGTAGTTCCCCTATATAAACGTTACATTCATAATCAAATGAGACAATCTGCAAGAGAATTAGCTATATTTTGTTATTCTTAATGCTTGTCATTCACACGTTGAGAAAAGACGGACTCCACCGCCCGGACCTAACGGAGCCGCAGTGGGCTAGCTCCGGGACGCCGGCTGGAGCTAGCCCCCTGCGGCTCCATTAGCTCCGGCGGCCACCACTGGGATAATTGGGTCCCCTATTAACATTTGCTCCCGTTTAGCATTATGGGCGTCATAGCCATAGACTATAAAAGTCTTACCCAAGGCTGAATCATAAACTAAAATGTATATGTATGTATAAAGGGTTACGTCCTTAGCTGGCTAATAAGTTGCAAGCTAAGCTACCAAGCACACAAACACCTGCGAACGGGGTTAACAGGTATAATATTATAATTTTAGACTTCTTCGAAGTTCTGTTAGTACATTCAAGCGCACAGCACGACATTTTAATTGTCTGGTATTTTTAAAAATATTCCCTAAAAGGCACAATCACCACGAACACGGCTAAAGGGTCAAGTACAGTAACTACAACTAACTAACGTTGTAGCCTCTATGGTTGTAGCCTAGCAGAGTGGACAAGTTGCTGTTAGCTGACAGTGAGGCATGTACATGTCCATCAAAGTGACCACGCCCTAATTTATGCAAAAGATTTAAGGCTTAATATTAATTAAACAGATGAGTTGAGAACAAATTCACCCCCCACACAGTAGTCATGAAGGGGGAATCTAACTATACAGAGAATATGGTTTTTTGAACCACGATGTAAACATGTTTATTTCTGCTGTAAAGTTGGGCATTTTAACATGGGGGTCTATGGAAATTGCTCCCTTCTGCAGCCTGCTCCTACTGGCCACTAGATGAACTGCAGTGTGTGGCACTTCCGTATTGGCGTCCCGGCTCTTCCCCAGAGTTTGCCGCTTGGTCTAAACCCAGATTCCTTTTTCACAGATGAAAACAAAATGTAGATAATTGAAATTATTATCCTTGCAAAGCTTCGTTTCACCTATTCTTAGATCATGAACAAAATAAGGTAAACTATTTAGATCAGACTTTGAAAATTGAAAATCTCACATCCCTCTCAGGGCTTCCGCACATTTAGTGATACTATTGATCTGACATGAATAAACGTTTCAAAGTAGGATAATTCAACGTGGTGTTACAGAGTGGAGCTTCATTTGTTTTCTGTCTCTGCAGGAAGTGTCTATGCACTATTCCAGTCTGAAGCATGCAGACAAGCCCCGCCCTACTGGCCAAGGAGGATCAGGATTGGCGGAGGAGAACGTCATATACTCAGCGGTGTTTAGTCGCAAAAACCTGAACAGATAACTTGACTGCAGATGGAACGGCTTTTGTTTCAGTATAGAGCCTTGGGGAAAATACTAAATTTGTGTAAATATCCTGGGAGCTAGCTTCGTCCTGGTTCCTACAACTTGAAGCCAATAGGATTGTTCTTTTGAATGATATGTTATTTCAGAAAACCACGGAGCCCTGAAGGATTCATAGAGAAAAAAATAAAATAAAACGAGGCCACATTTTATTAATTTGTGCGCACAAGATGTAATTCGTGTGCACGAGATGTAATTTGTGTGCACAAGATGTCATTTGTGTGCACGAGATGTAATTCGTGGCCTCAATTTAAATAAAACGAGGCCACACTTTATTAATTCGTGCGCACGACATACTTTCTCGTTCACACAAGATACTTTCTCGTTCGCACGACAAATTTACCGGTGCACCAAGTAGGAAGTGGAGCGCACAGGAAACAACCGTTTCATTGCAGACTGTTATGTTTATGTGGGAAAAAAATTAGGGATATTTCGGCCCGAGGTGATGAGCTATTTGTTTAAGCACCGGATTCGCAAAACAGGAGAGTCTGTGAACCAGTCTGCTTTGATCTATGAATTCTTATCCGTGACTCTCACAGTATCTGCTATGCGCAGAGAGCTGTGCCTTTTACGCAGCGCCTTCACTGTGTTTACCTCCATTAGAACAGTTCGATGTGTCTAACCATATTTCTGAGACAAATCTATGCCCATACCATGCTTACGGTGAATACGAGAGGAGAAGAATAAACATGTACTCCCAGACAATTGCAGCTGTTCAAGCGTATTATGAGTATGATCCTGAATCTGACACTGAAGTACACAGTTTGACTACCTTAGACATCTTGTTCGTAAGAGCAGGCCAAGAGCAGATGCTACTGGGCGCTTCGGCTAGACGACTGAAGATATGTTGCGCCGTGTGCCAGGAGTTCAATGTAAAGCCAGCCCACATTATGCCAATGACGTCATTTATGTGGGTAAGGAGGAAAAGTGAGAGGGTTGTATTTTCTGAAACTTTTTGAGTCTCCTTTCACACCGGGGACACATATAAAAATACTTTTTTTTTTTTTGCATGATAGGTCCCCTTTAAGCTATTTCCTGCATCTTTTTCCCCAAATAAAATGCAATAGACTGTGTGCATGTGTATAAATAATGGTCTGCTTTGCTTTTAGTTTTCTAACACATTTCTTTAGCATCTTTATAATCATTTACATACGCAAATACACACGAGAATAATGTTAAAATGTTACTTTTACACTGTTACCGCTTGATACATGAACATAAGATTGAACACAAAAAAACATTGTATATGGAGTGATACGAGCATCCACAGTGGACTGATACACTCTGATGTAATGCTCCTGTCATATTGAATTACAAATTGAATTAAAAAAAAGGATTGTTATATACAATATTGTCATAAATAAGAACATAAGATTCAAAACATTTTATGCAATCCTCAAGCACTAATACCTCATTATTAGCTGTCTCCTCCTATCTTAAGATCAAGGAGGAACCAGGTGTATAAATAAACACTTTTTTCATTTCATTTGACTTTGATTTGGTGCAAAAAACTCAATATTGTGTTTGTCAGGTGAACTTTCTAGTTGTGACCTATTTACAAAGGGATACCCAGTATAATAGAAGGCACATGTTATTTATTTTTATTTTGTAGTTACACTTTTTAACACTGGTTACACAAACTTATCGGCAGACAGACCAAACGATGCTATGCTGTAGCATATGCTACATGCTAATCACAGTAATTGATGCATCCTCCCTCACTCTATCTCCCCCTCTCCCTTAGTCACTTTCTCCCTCACTCATACACCATTTCTCTCTCTCTTTCCTTATCCTTTTCTCATTTTCACTACCTCACTCCATCCTGGGCCGGATCTACCATATGGGCAAACTGGGCGTCTTATTTTTTTGTGGATAAGATATGGGCTTATGTCCTATTTTAAAAGTGTAATGCTCTCGAAATATAATACAACCTTATGATAGAAAACATCTTCTTGCTTTCCTAGCATAGTTTATTTTCTTCTTTTTCACACCTTTTTATATCCTTTGTCCATGTGTTTCTGTTTGGCTGGTAAATTGGTCTATTACAGATAGTTTCAATTCATTTTTACATTTAATATTTTTAAATATGTGTATTCTTTGGATACTCTATTGATATACAGTATATATATTTTCGAAAGTACAATTGTGGAGCTGGGCTAAGCTCCTGATGTTGCTAGATCCCAGCAACGGCCCTGGTTCAGCTGGAGAATTCGGCCTTGACTCCATCCCTCATTCCTTACTTCCATCTGATCTCCACACCTGCAGTATACATGAGTAGATAATGAAACCTACATTGTTCTTGTGCGTATGTAAGTGTGCGTGTGTGTGTGCGCGTGTGTAAGTGTGTGTGTGTGCGTGTTACCTCCCTCACTTCCCCCCTCACTCACTTGTGTTCAGTTTATTCAAGCTTAATTTGACATTGTGCTAAAAAAAGATAATAACATTCAAAGTGATGACTATATAAATAGTAGGCCTATATACTCATCACATTATTCATCTTAATCCATCAATAAACTAATAATATCACCATGATTCTACATTTAAAGATACATAAATACATTCCAAATTGTAAATAAATAAATCAATAGTGTAGCAAGGTTTCACTTTAATGTTGGTCGTAGTCGTACTGAGGGTGGAAGAAGTCCTGAGGGTTGACATTTGGGGGGGGGGGGGAGACAGAAAGGAACTATTAGGTTTCAAATACAGTCCTGTTCTCTTCTGTACATGTTTTAAAGAAAGGTTAACAAAGTGAAAGGCAGAGCTACCGTCTGCTGCTTTGAAACAAACAGCTTGCCTGGTTCTACTTTCATTTTCACTCTCTACACTGAGCTGGAAGGACATTTGGTTTGGCTGCTCAAAAAGATGCCATACAATAAATAATAGATTAACAATCTTTCTATAAGCAGTAAAAAGACAACATACAAGAATACAAAGATGTATAGAGACACAGGGAAGTCGCACTATTTCAGGCATCTTACAGAAAACCCATTCAAAAAACTCAAGATGGCGACATCAAATGTGCACCAACTCATTTCCTGGTTTGAAGACTCTACAGCACTTTATTCACAAGTTTTGGGAGAGAAACTCCCTCTGAGGGAACACAGGGATTTGAGCCTTTGCAGAGGATTATCAAGCACAAGTACGGGCACGAGCAAAAAATAGGACTCAAGAGCACAACCAGGCAAAAAGGTCTTTAGTCAAGCGTTTAATCCAAAAGGTAAAAATAAAACAGGCAATGATCAAAAAATGTACTGACTTGAAGTAACGAAAAACAACCAGCTAAGTTGGCGGAAAACTACTAGAGAAGCAACAAAAAAACAACCAACTAGGTTGGTACAAATGCTAAGCAACTAGAACAATAGCTTACGTCAGAAGAGAAACATGGAGCACTTTCTGCTATACAGACAAGACGAACTGGTACTGACCAAGGAAACGGCACAGACTAAATATACAGGTGAGGAGTGATCATTAGGGACAGCTGAGGCTCATTGAGACCAGGCAGGTGATTAACAGGGAGAGAAAATACACAGGTGAGGGAGTGAGGCGATCAGCCAGGACCAGGATGTGACAAGGATTTGAATGCACACAAACCTATAGAACACACTACAGGAAAGGGCCCAATAGGGCCCCTTTAACCTTTCATTAGACTGGATATGTCAGAGTGCACGGAGCAGCAGAGAAGCTTTCTGTTTAGCAGCTGGTCTGGTGACGACAGCAGAGTAGATGACGTGGTCCTGGTTCTGGTCTGCTGGAGTCCTGCTGGGTCCCCCTCTCCAGTTCGGTCGGCCCAGAGAGGCGTAATGGATCGCCTCCTCCTGCGGAGACGGGCTCTCAGAGTCCTCACACTCTGAAATGATACAGGCGTGTATAGTGAGGGGAGAACACACCTGACTAATGAATGAAACAGTAGAAAAGGTGTGGTACCAGTCTGTGCGTTGGACGTATTCCACGGCTGCAGCTCTGTGTCTTCCTGACTCTGGGCTGCAAACAGAGACAAGAGATGAAGATGGACATAAAGATGGCGGCAGTTTGATTTTGTATACAATGAGTACGCTTCTCAAATGTTATGAAAAGAATAAAGAAACATGCTGATTATAGAGTTAGGGTTCACTTCAACATTTAATGCACCCAACTGAAATGTTACGTTTTGTATTGATGATGGAGGTTTCTTGCTCCCTCTATCTAATTTAAACAGTGAGATAAACAATTTTCAAAAGAGTGTGAAGTGATCAGAGTTCTTCATCTTTTTCAAATTTCAGGGTGTTAGGGAAATAATTGTCCTAGACTCCTAGTCTGTTATCTCCTTTAAGGAGATAGGCTGCTTCAGCCATAATGTTGTTGTTCCCATTCTATGACCGGGCAACCCTAGGTCACAGATGGTTTATTGTTGTGGGTACACTGGGACACTTCCTTCTCTGTGTTTGTGGACTCCAAGGTGTGAAATCTTCGAGGCCATAAGTGTCAGAAGCAAGTGACTCAGTGTTCCCAACTGTTTAGGCTATCTTCTCAAACATGTTGATTACTCTCTGTGGAACCAGTTAAATGGACTAACGAGAGAGAGGCGCTCTAGAATTGACGTGGCAACTCTACCGTGAAGTCAGAACCTCTGGCTCTTGGACTTGTGATGTGAATTCTCCGGCCGAAGCTCCAAATAAACCATCAGTGTTTGACATCAAAGCTCCTGCTCTTCCCGTGTCTCTTTCCTCAGTCGGTGACTCCCACTGCATTGCTACACAGAAGTTTCCTCTACACAGGTGTCTCCTATCAATCAATTGTTGTTGGACTGTGGCATCACCTTGATCAGAGACCCCCTGTGGTAAATTGAACTGATTGGATTAGGAAAGGCACACATCTTATTATAAAAGGTCTCAGAACTAAAGTAAAGCCGTGACATGGAAGGAGCTGCCGGCAGATCTCACAGACAGGATTGTGTTTCGCACGATCAGGGGCAGCCAACTAATAAATGTTGCTGCATTGTAGGTTTTGAAAAAAAGACCGTAAGAAACAAAGAACTTTGGTCATATGAAGCCAAGGTTAGGAAGGTTTCTAACAGTGAAATCACCTGGAAGTACCTAAATGTCAGCCATGATACTGTAAGAACTGTCTGAATTCTGTATATGTTATGAAAGGAGCTTCAATGCTTCCTTCATGATCTTCTTTAGCTCCGGTTATACTTGACCATCCTTAATTATATACTTCATTCACTAACATTTTTCTTGGAATCAACCAATCTGGACCGAACAAATGCAAAATATTCTCTTCATCGACTCGCGAAAAGGGAAGTTTGATTTATTTTTCTGTCCTCTCGTTATTTTGTGCGTAGTAACTGTAATGTATTTACTGCTATTATCAACAGTAACACCTTACATGACTGTGTTACAGACACATGTAATCTGATTACAGCCCCACACTGTTGACCACAGCCTAGAGAACCAGGCACAGCACCATCCCTACAGGGAAGCATGGTGGAAGCGTGTCGCTGTGGGGGTGTGTTTCAGCTGCAGAGACTATTGTAGACACAATGACACGTGGGGCTCTCTGCCAATCAGATACCTGCACATCTGTGTTTCCTCCTCCTCCTGCACCTCATGCCGGTCAGTAGAACACAGACCCCGGCCATGAGGAGGATCATTAACCCCATCCCCGCCACGGCAACCATCAGCAGGGCTGAGAGAACACACAGAACATCTGCTCAACAAACACCCAAACATCCACATCTGTACACTCTGCATGACTCAGCAGGGGCTGTGCTGACTCACCATTCACAGGTGTCTTCTTCTCCTTCTTCTTTATTTCAACCTCTTCTGATTAATAGAACAGAAACAAAACTCCAAACTTAGATAAAACAATTAAATATAGTTAATATCCTTTTGAAACAGCTATTTTTGAAGAATGTGAGTCATGGATTAACACTTACGAAATAATAAACTCCAGATACAATTAAATTGAAAGGAATGAAACTAAATCAACTGATTTGGAGTATACTAGTCCAGTTCTTCTGATCCATTGTGGATATGCATATTGCATATTTTCATGATACTTGGAAGACAAAATAAAACTACCCATTGTGATGATGTTTTGTTTAGAAAT